GCTATACGGGTGTCTGTAAAACCTGAGCCAAGACTCATCTGTCAATTGAGAAAAACAATTTTTTCTCAAAGCTTTTTTTCTTCTTTTAGCGTTTATTTATTTTTGAGAGAGAGAGAGAGAGAGAGAGCACAAGCTTGGGGAGGGGCAGAGAGAGAAGGGAACAGGGGATCCGAAGCGGGCTCCACGCTGACAGCGGAGAGCCCGAAGTGGGGCTTAAACTCCTGACCCGCGAGATCATGACCTGAGCTGAAATCGGACCCGACTGAGCCCCCGGGCGCCCCTCGAGTGAACAAATTCTTATCGTGCACCTCTGATGTGCCAGCACTGTTCTGGACACTGGTGGTCCAAGGGAAGGCAAGATGAACAGGGTCCTGCCCTGAATTTCCACACGTCTTGGGGAGGAAGACAGATACAAAAGAGATCTGTTCAGACATGGATAAACGCCAGGAAGACAGTAAAACAGGGTCAGAGAAAAGAAAGCAGCAGTGGTGGGGACAGGAGCTTCTCTTAGATTGGGGGGTCAGAGAAAACCTCTTTAAGGTGGGCGTGTTTAAACTGACCCCCGAATGATTAAAAAAAAAAGAAAAAAAAAGTTAGCCACGAAAATCATATATCCAGAACGTCTTATTTATGCCATATCCCCCAGAGTCTAGGGCAGTCGGAGGCACACAATAGGTGCTCAATAAATGTTTGATGGCTAAGCCGGTCAGAAGAGGCAGAGGTGAGAGGTCATCCCTGGGCTTTCCTCACAGAGACATCGCCGTGATGGACAATCAGGGCTTCTGCAAGATCGTGGGCCGCTCCAAGGATATGATCATCCGGGGCGGTGAGAACATCTACCCCGCCGAGCTTGAAGACTTCTTTCACACACACCCGCAGGTGCAGGAAGTGCAGGTGAGGCACCCAGCCCAGGCGAGCCCAGGTGAGCCCCCCAGGAGCAGGAAACAGGAATGGGCATGGCAATGTCTGACATCTGTCTCTGGCGCTGCAAGGTGGTGGGGGTGAAGGACGACCGGATGGGGGAGGAAATCTGTGCCTGCATTCGCCTGAAAAAGGGGGAGAAGACCACAGCGGAGGAGATCAAGGCCTTCTGCAAAGGGAAGGTGGGAACCTCACCCCGCCCCACGCTGATGTTGCTTTGTGCTTCAACCCC